TAAACTATGGAATAATGAGGTTATTTTATTTACTCTTATTTTGTCATTGATTATAGTAAATAAGTAAGATTAGTAGAGATAATTAGACCACAGTTTAAAATAGTTTACACCAAAATTAATTAAACCGCAGTACACATCGAGGCTTACACGAGTCTTAAATAAAAAAGGATAAATGCAAATTATTTTACTGCTCCACTTTTCAAGGAAAGATTAGAAAAATAACAATGTTTACATGTTTTAATTCTTCATGATAGCTTTTTGTTTACAATTATGTTTGTCTGCTTAAACATGGTTTGGATTAGGCCCGCAAATATTGATGTTACAAAAAGAAGATCAAGTATAATCAGGAATCACGATTTTAAATTACCTCCACAACCTTAGCCGGGTTTTATACAAAGATAAACAGATGGATGACATAGATTGAACACAACGTCAACATTGACCTAGGATACTGCAATTAGACAAACCATCCTTTTATGAAATCGTGAAATCGTTCAGTTGTGGTTACGTTTGGAGGTGCTTATATCAGCGCCCCCAAACTTGAAAATATCACTTTTATTTTAACTATGACTATATTGTAGTTTAAATTAACTAATATGGGAAAGTACGATGTACATTTATTTAATGAGGGTGGGTAATTATCAAGGATAGAACTGATAACGGTATGGATAATAAACATTGACAATTACGTCATTAGCTTTACTAGCGTGTTTACTTTTTATATTACTGCTACATGTGACCAGTTTTTATTCAAATGAATGTTATTTGAACCAAACAGCTGTTTCAAAACAAACTGTTATTGTTTTTACTTTTATTTGTTTACACTTATTATTTATTTAGCAATTAATGCAGTGAAATTTAGGATAGTTGTGACGATTAGTTTTGATGTTAGGACACCAAAGTTAAATTATGTGTACTGTGAATTTTATTGGATATTATCGTTTTATTTTAGGTCGTTTATATTCAGACCTACTGGATATTGTGTATAGTAGTTGTATTGTGATAATTGTGACAATAATTAATGAAGAGGCAGTTATGCTATGGAAGGTAGTATCGTTAACTAGGTCTATAGACTTCTCAATTGACTATTACCATAGGTAGATCAAACATACTCCCCTATTACTCTCTCTATTGTAGCACAGAAAACATACTACTATTCTGTGACTGTAGACTACTTATAATCAGAGTGCGTCTGTGCGAATTGGCTGCCTCACTTAAACACTTTTCACATCGTAAAAATTGCAGAATCGATGTTTTATTGTAAAATTATCGGATTTAAAATGCATATCGTATAGGCCGTATCAGGTATATATTATGATGGAATAAAAACATATTTGGTCACACAACATTTGTTTACAAGATGATTTTTCACATTAAAACTGCAAGAAACTTTGTCTTTATGTGTAAACTAGCTGATTCGAATTGTACACGGTTTTAACTGACTACTGAATTCCCGTACGTAGGACGGGCTAACACCTCGTATTTTATGATTACAATTTCATAACAAATATTGCCTTCTCACAACTCAAACGTAGAAACTATCCACCCAGGTAAAAAAAGGTTTAAAAACCTTCTGTTTCAACTGATCAACATTTTATTAAAACGATACCCTGTGTAAAACACAGTTAAAAAACGAAATATCATACCATTGTTACTGAGAGGGCTTAGGTAAAAAGTCTCGCGAACCTCCTGAAAGGGCAAACGATAAAAAGAGAAAATGGAAAGTGTCCGTTGACGATAACGCCGGCATTGTTCTACGTCCAATGTTATTGGCTGGCCATCAGAGCGGTTTAGGGGCAATCAAAAAGTAAATTAGGGCTGGGGATTTGAACGCTCGTGGATTTAGCTTTTGTTCGATTGGTCCACAGGAGGGAGTTTTACATTAATTCTCATCCTGGATTATACGCTATGTTAATTAATGTACTAGTGATTGCCTTTACCGATTGGGGTTGTTATTTAAATGTCATTGCTGTGGTGTATATCAAGTTATAAGGGATAGTTGGTGTGGTGGAAATTAGGTTCTGAATTGTTGTACGATGAATTGGTGTGCGTATGTGATTTAGGGTACTTAGAAACGGGGCGATTGAAATGTGTTAGTTGTTGTTAATTTAATAATTTTAAAATAGGCTAACATAATTTATTGAACTGTTTTAAAACTTGAAATCTAATTAGTTCGAACTCATATAGGCAGATTGATGTCAAATTCTGGTATTTTTGTCATTAGCTAGATGTTATATACTGGATGTGTCTAGATTTTATATACTGAGTTGCTACTATTGTTTACTAATATATAAAAATAATAATATGCATGACTGATTTTCTATTTATTTTAAGGTTCAAATATATTTTTTTAATTAAGTTACATACATTTATACACCACAAAGGGATGACTGAATTACAATTGTTGGAAACAATATTCCAAATGTTGTATTAAAGACAGTTGAACGTTAATTTGAAACGAAATTATATTTCTTATAGTACACGGCAGATGATTTTGTTATCTGTACCATAAATGACCTATTATCATCAAATAATTATCATAGACCATTTATATACCGTAGTTGTCTTAAAACTAGCTTTATTATGTGGTAATATAAATAGTGGTTTGAAATTCTCTACAAACTGTAGCATTTAGAATTATCTTCTGGTTTTCTGTTAGAACATTCTTATTGTTCTTGTTGTTCTGCTACTAGTATGAAAACTACGGTCTTTAATAATATAATGCCCGCTATAAAGTGTAGCTGTTAAACATAGTTTCCAAGGAGTGCTTGTCCACTCAGTCTTTGAACTATAAATTCATTTCTTACGTGAAGCAATGCAAGCCTTTTTATCAAAATAAATCTTTATTGGAAAACACTGTAAACATTAACCTATAATATAACTCAGAAACAACCAAAGAACGACTATGTTTACCAAACACGATTGAAATCGCGAATAATTAAAAAAATATATAGTGTTCAATAAACAAAAATAATAAATTAACAGAATTACTGCAAGATACAACATATTAAAATCATACTTTCTGCTAAACATCAAGAGAAAACTCATTACAATTTCGATGCAACCCTCCAAGTTCTCATCAGTTTTGACAATTTTATGAGAATGGCTGTCTCGGAGGCGCTATGGTAAATGAAATGTCTGTGGAATGTTATCATTATCATTCATCGCAATAAGGGGAGGAAGGGTTCGCCTTAATAACGCAGGGTGTGGCGGAATGAGGAAGACACCTGGGCAAGACTGGAATGCCATTAGACTGCAAAAACTGCAACTTCCCTTCCGTGGCTGGCCGCAGCTCGTGAACAGTAGGGGACCGAGACTACTGCCTTGGGGAACTCCGACACCGACGTACTAAAGGGGTATTAATTACGTGTATCGATTAAAATGTATTTCAAAAGTAAAATTAGACACTTTATTTTGGGTGTAATTGCAAATCAATTTTTAAGATTCTGAATAAAGGTTTATATACATAAATATTCAATTCATCTTTTATTCACAAATGATTTAATAAAATCTTATTGTGACAAATTATTTACTTTAACAACACAATTTCTATTAATCATGTTTACCTATACTATGGGTTTCATCAGAGAATTAAATTTTGTGCTTGAAATAAACTTATAATGGTTAATCGTACATCATAATTATTGTGATAATTATTTTTTTAGTCTTTATTTTAGGAAAATGAAATGGTTCACTGTTTTAGAGGAAAATATTAGTTTAAGCCCAGAGAGGATTTGGAATGAGTTACGTTTGTTTAATCCTTGTAATCCAAACGCGCCCCTTGACTCAGGCAAACAATTTCTTTTACTATGTGGCCCGATAATTTGTTAGTGAAAACTTACATCGGAGCATACTTTTTATGGTTGTTGGTACCATCAATCGTAATATATTCATACTTTTGACTGCTACATGAGAACTAGTTTTGTATATAAAAAAAAAATACGAATTTTTAAAGTTGTGTTGTAGTCTTATTAAATTAAAAAATTAAAGCCCAAGACTATTTATTTTCCAAAGTAAATTTCTATAGTAATGATATATTCCATGACATAAACACACAAAAATATATTTAAACTGAAGTGACATTGTCTAAAATTAAATAAAGATCATAACTCATGTTTTTATTATAAAATAACTTATTTAACTTATAATTTAACAGTCCATCGTCTGCTGGATTGCAAAATAAACAATCATCCTCTCTTAAACTCGATTTAAAAATGCATGCTTCTTCCTGCAGAGAGCTAGTTTCTAATTGAAGACGCCTTCAAAAAACGTAAAAATGGTTCAAATTATTAAGTGGTAGTTGCAACCAACCAAGAGGAAACTAATTGTAAAGTCAGTTGAATACTTTAATACTTGCTTATTAAATGGCGACCCTACAAAGTAGGTATTTTAAGACAAGTATGAATGGAGATGAGTGGCGCGATCTTGTAGTCTTTTTAGTGACTAAGGCCGACATTCCTTAGACACAGTTGTTAATTAATAGCCCATACAGCTAATGGCAACTAAGGGACCTACAGTTTATTGTACCGAGCCACGTTTTTGCCTTGGAATACACGAATTGGTCTAATTATCAGGATAGGACTGCGGATAGTCGTAGTACTCACTAGTGCGGACGTTAATCCACACCAGGGAGTATCACATCCACGGTGCATTCCTATAAATATCCACAATTCGTGACCTCCTGGTAGTTGGATTACTGGACGACGCTACCCGTCCCAGTCAATTAAATAAACGTGTAGGCTAAATAATTTGTAAAAGTGATAACAATAATAAAATGTCACCCCAAAATTCCAAGCAAACTCTTTAAAACTGTTCTGTTTATATCTGTGTAAATTTTATAAACCACAACTGCTTATCATTTACGGACTCCCTTTAAAAAAATAAGAACCATGAGGAAAATCCAATGATTTTCGCAATGAAAAAAAATTATCACTGAATTAAATAATTAATTTACAGGTGATTCTAAAATCACTGATGTTTAATAAGTGAAATTGGCAGTTATGTGTGGGCCACGGACGGACGCGCCGTCACACCTGTGCAGACGTACAATAGGGAAACCGAGAGCATTTCCATGTGAATGTCGCTGCGGGTATAACTACGTCGCCGGCGCCGTGCTGTTATCAGTAGAGTCCTCCATTATCAGTGCCATGTGGCGGTCCATCATAGTGCTGTCTGTGGTCGCCGGGCTGGCCGCCGGGTCTGCCATCCAGAGGGTGCCGAGGGAGAGGAAAGCTGGCTTCGGTAACTTTACACACATTTAGGAGATATTAACAAATATTTGGATCAAAGTTTGATTGGAAATTTTAGTGTTAGCTTACATAAGTAGTTTTTAATTAAGTTGTTTTTTCATGCAATTTTGACTGGAGAATCCTACCCTTAATTATAAAATATAAAATGTGAATGTTTCACCAACATTTACAGGAATAGATATTTAGTTGTAGTGAAGAGAATTGTCTTTTAATATTGACTATAGCTGTACTCTTTTATTCAAAAGTGTAACACCTTAATTTTTCTTAAAATCTGATTAATAAATGCACGAATGCTAGAACGAAATCGGGTTGCATCGTAAACATAAACAAATTACGTCACTGGCCCGAATCTTATACTAGTAACCAAACAGTTGAGTTGAAGTTGAACGTTTTTGACAGTTGCATTAATAATACATTACAAATATCTTCACTGGGCCAGTAATAAATCTCTAATACTCTCAGGAATAAGTAGTGTAATTAATCAAAACCATGTTACTGTACTTATTTTAAGAGATACGAAAGGCTTGGGAGGTATACATACACCTACTCACCATTAATACTTGCTCTGAACACATGATCATTTAAAACACTTTGCACACATTGTGTAATAAAAAAAAAAAACATTAATCAACCTGTCAAGGATAATACACAACATAAGATTACAAAATCGCATAAATAAAAATTCAAGTTATCCTGGTAATTTAAAATCTTCAATACAAAATATTAAAATAAAATATTGTCGATCCTTACAAAATGTAGAGTAATATCACAAAGAAAGGTTTTGTGCATTAACTCATAAGACTCAAGTAGTAATAAAATTAATGTGCACATTATCATAATGTGAATTTTTATTTTTTATTTTTGAAATTATTTATATACCTCCTACCTTAGGCTATGGAAATTATTCCTTGCAGCTTATCAATCAAACTTTAGACGCAGACAATATAATACTTTGGTTCCCATAGCCTGTGCTTTAGATTTTAAGGTTTAAAACAAAATTACTCTACATTTTATTGGAATACTTTTCAGATTACTCTACTTAGATTGGAGAAAGAATCCTCTAACTTTAGTTAATAATATAATTTAACCTGATTAAAAAAAATATTTTTTCTGGCCTCGCATACTTGATTTTTTTCTGGATCAGGAACTAAATCTTAATGTGGACTATAAGCCACAAAATTGGTGTTGTTTAATTAAACCCAAATACAATCTTTTTCCGAAAAAAAAATTAGTGCAGAGAAAATAACCTGCTCTAATATAAATAAAACAACGGTTAACAGTTAAAGTCAACGGTTTTAACTGTACAATTCTCCAGGTGTCAAAAAGATCCTATACACTATAATAGTACAGTATACTATAGTATTCTCAGCGTATGACCAAATCGTTTACTGACACCACATTTTGAGACAAAAACATTAAATAAACATACATTTATTTACCCAACAACTAATCTATTTAAAAGCGAGACACTCCCCAAACTCCAAATCCAAGTCAACTCAACATTTTATCGAACTGTATAAAAAGTAACGTTCCCGACACTGTACAGCAGAAACACAAACGTCTGTATAATACGACTATTATCAACACAAAAACTTTCAAACAAGCCTATTGAAAATCTTGGACATAATCTGGGTAGAGCCGAGTTTGCATTAACATTCAAAGTGTTATTGCCGGCTCTACAGAGTTTGCAAAGTTTGTTCGCGATGCAAATGGTGTATTTGAGCGTTTGCTTGAATTCCTCTTTTGAATGGACTCTAACTATCAATACGGAAAGTTTGCATTGGTTTTACAGCCTGAAAATGAATCCACACTTTCTGGAAAGTTGTGGTCAGCCATTGTTCGATTCTTTTGTATTAGGAGGTGTTTTATACGTTCCATTGTAAAATGTGTACCTGTTACTAGATTTGATAGCGGTTCATTGTTTTAGATGGCAACATTTAAAAGAGAGTTCAAATACTTTAGAGTTACTTTTTTAAGTTAAAAATTATAATAGAATTTTCCTATTAAAATCTTTTTACTAATTGAAGCAAACGAATAATTTAAGTACAAAGTACCTATTTCGGAGTGTCTCTTTTAAGCTGTACAACCTGACATAAAGAAATGTAAATTGATAATGTGATATCACATCTTGTTTAAATCAGTGGTTAGTTATATAAACAATCTTACGTAAACAAATGCATATTTTCTGATTGCCGTTTCTTCTTCTTTTACAGCTTCGTGTGTATTAATGGCCTAGTTAAATACAAGTTTTAAAAGGCCACTAAGCTAATTTCATATATCAAAAATAAATATGGAGAAATTAAAAACAAAGTTTTTAAGAAGTTGAAGGTAATGATTGGTCATTAGAATAATTTTAACAAAATAATTAAGGCTAACTTTTTAAGGTAAGTATCAAAATAAATATTTTACATAAAAATTATCTAAAAATATACGATACATAAATTTCACAGTTCCAATGAATTAATTTAAACTAAAAAATGCAATAAATCTTATCTCCTAATTGCTGGGAAACGGTAAACGTCCCGGTAAACTATTCCGAACTTTCTTTCTGAAGAGAAAGCTGTTAGGAAATATCGAAACAAACCCGAAATTAGAGGTCGGAACTAGCGGATTCGGCTCATTCATATGTAGAGAAGTTCGGTGTTTGGTGGGAACGCGGTGATGGGGCGGTAATGAATGTATTCAGGTGTATGCAGATTACAACTATGCACAAGTACTGAGGCTGGAGGAAATACAACGGTCAAATACAGAACTGCTTGCTGCCAGGAAGCTTGTATGTTAGCTGAGCATAACGGTGGTTTGAACATCTGATATCGTTAATTAATTTGTGTGATAATGCAAGAATATTCCCAATTACACATTATTTTACAGGGTAAAATATAAACATTACTAACTTACTTGTGTATTCAGAAAACGTGTTATATTTAAGTTTACTTTGGATAATGTTCTAAACGATGACATTCAGTAACAAAATCACGATTGAATCAGCTCTTGTTTGATTCATATCGGAAACCATTTATGTCGGGTGTACGGGTCTAATTTCAACAATGGATTGCAATGTTCGTAAACAAGTTTTAATTCAACCTTTCAATATGAATATTTTATAGATCTTTACACTCAATGCGTGTAGTAAGAATAATCAGACTATCAGTGTATTCCTGGCATATCCAAGCAATTTGAGGAGATTAAATCGACTTTCCATCAACACCTTTTACGATTAATTCATATCAAATCCTTCTGTTCTGCCAGTACCACAAAATTCACTCACTCAAAAAGAATTTGGAACATTATTTCAACTTATATTAAAACATTTTATAACGCTTCCCTAAAATTAAACATGAAAACCGTTAAGTTAAAAGATTAAACAAGGTATTTGAATAAATTTATTTTTCGTTCAATACTTAAAACATTAATTGTTTCCTTTACTTAGCTATCCCTAATTGGTTTCGGTAGTGAAAATGGCCTTTTGCTTAATGTAACCAATCTTACACAAAAGAAAGTCATTCGGAAAAGAAAATCTTATAAAGTAGACTTAAATGACCCAAGTCAGTGATTCAGTCTCCTTACACTTGTAAGAACGGAGCCAAGAAAGTTGCCGTAAATTAGGGATTAGGATCAAACGGGTCGGATTAGGTGAAACCCCGAGTCAGCGAATGTGAGAGGGTGACTTACTTGGGGATGTCAGGTATACAGTACTGGGGGGAATTAAATTGTTTAAATTAGGTAGTTGACCTGAAGAAGTTAATTGTAATGTGCTTGGAAGTTGCGAGAGCGTAAGACTTTGATAAAATGTAAATTATCACAGACTGTGTAGTAGTTAATGACATGCATTAAAATGAATACGATATTATACATGTGCATAAGTTTAAAAATCTCACAAAAAATTATTCACTTAAAATGTATTTTACAACTTTGTTGACTTGTGCTTGATTATTTAAAAATAAAGAAAAAAAGGTGATCTTTAATGGTTGTGGTCATGGTTTCTTCAAATAACGAAATGTCCATTGCAAGTTATCTGAGGAGTTTTTTTCACTTTAATGTAGGGAAAAACAAACTCGTATTTTATGAGTAAAATGTCGAAGTGGATTTCTTACTTACAAAGATCACCTCTGTTTTCTATCGGGACCTACTAAAAGCTTAACGATAAAAAAACAGTTAAGTTCAATTTTGAAACATAATATGTTAATGAGTTTTCTAAGGATTGAACCAGCTACATAACCACTCAGATATCCAACTTTACTAGTGATATAATCATTAATAATTGTGTGCCTCCATTCCATTATGGTATTCAACTCAAGGCACAACGCATATGACATCCGTTGTTACAGTTGTCTTCAAGTCATGTAATGCACAACTACTTTTGAACTATTCAATGAGCATTTCCACTGTCCAAAACATTCCTATTGTGATCGTGAAAGCTTTAACCGTGTTCCTATCTTGTGTGTTCATACGATTACATCAACTATCAACATTTGCGACTCCTTGAACTTTTTTCTAGCCTTACAGTCAACATCTTTTAAGCACTATTTGGTATTTCACTGTGCCATTGGCTTTTGTTGGATTAAGTTGATCAGTTTGAAAATCTGGGATCAATCACTTTAAAACGTACAACTTAAATGTACGTCCAATCTTATGTTCAAGGTATAAGTATTTAACCAACCTCGTAATTAAAACCCTTCAGTCCCTTGGTATCATGTTATATGGGATAGAAAGTTCAAGAGCTGGTGTATTATGTCATTATACTTTAAATAATGTAAACTATGTACAGTTCTTCAACATTTCAATGAGCTAAAAAATAATTTTTTTAAGAAAGTGTGTATTTTCCACAAATAAACTTATTATTTAGAAAAGCAAAACTGTCAAAGACAAATTAATAGATAGTGTACAACAAATTTTAAAGCGATTATGGACTCGTACAGCTAAACTTCTGAATACTATCGAAATCTACTATCAAAGTGAACAGATCTCTCTGTATTTAAAACTACTCTAAGCCTTTCGCCAATTCTGACTTCTGGTTCTAATCCTCTTGCATTCCAGGAGCCGGCCTCGCCACCATCGTCGGCACCCTCGCCATCCTGAAGGTGAAGGCGTTCATAGTCACCCTCATAGTGTTCGCTATCGCCGCGTTCCTCTCCAGGTTCGTGGGTCTAGGAGGATGTCTAGGAGGAGGCGAGTATGGCTGTGGAGCCTCTGCTCTCCTGTCTCCCACGGCCCACTCCAACAACTACGGGTACAACTACGACACCTACACTGGCTCCAACACCGGCTACAACTACTACAACCACAAGAGATCCGCCAAGTCCATCCAAGGGTGAGTGGAGATGAAATGTAGCAGTGAGAGCGTAAGACTTTTCAATCTTGAGAGGGATTTAATTGAATATACCTCCTAGGAATAAGTTTTTATAGAGAACAAGAAGCTTTCATTTCTCTTACTAGACAGTTTTTATAATGCCTATGTAAATATTCCTTGTAAATACCATACCAATAAGTACCCTAGTGGTAAGTCCTTAAAAGACAGAATTCATAGACTTACTCAGTGATGCATTTACACCAGGCAAGCCACTGGCATTGCTATCGAAAACCTGACCTAATTGTATTAAATTGTATTGTTGTCTGAAAACAAAAGAAAATTGTTAAGAGTACACAATTATCAATTACACATTCTTAACCTGGTCAAATATAAAATTAAAACAGAGGTTCAACCAATGAAATACTAAACAGTTATAGTGAACAATTATCTTGAAATAACCAACAATTACAAAAGCATAAATTATTTGCTGTCTTGGAATTGTTTTAACATTGTTTAAATTTGTAAACTATTTAGTGGTCTTAGGATTTTAATATGTATGTATGTGAGATATTGTAAGATGTTTAACATCAAAACATACATCTTAAAGTGACTCATCACTTCTTCTAGTGATCATGGTATATTTTTTACAGTTGGGACATCCTAGACATGAGTATGGAAGTTTTGGGGCTTGAGTCTGACGATTGCAAGAAGAAATTCGTGTGTCTGGCAGACAACGAAGCGATAGAGAACCCGTTACTCAACATCCTTATGAGGGCTTTCGGGTAAGCTTAGAAATTTAACAATTAATTATCTATCAGCGAATAATTATATCTGTGCAAATCAGTTTAATATATTTTAACAACATCTGTAATGTTATTCTTTTGCCTACGATTATGCACTGAAGAAAAACATTTTACAATCAATATGGTGGCATTCTTTCGAATAATTATTGAACAGTATAAAAGAAGAAATTATTGTTCCACTATCTAAAAAAATATACTTTTCATTATTGATATTTTATTCGTTTCTATAAAAGTTAAATATCCAGATATTAACGTACACAACCTCTAATAAAATTACTTGTTTTGTTTCCATTTCGTTATTATTTTATTGAGATGGGTTAAGTAAGTCATAAATATCAAAGAATCTATCACAATACAGTATTATATGCCGGATACAAAGGTCTGACATTTGTATGAATTTGTAGTTTCAGGTTGGATGTTGACATATTTTTGCAATTGCATTTTGACTATGGTTTTAGCAATATTGAAAGAACTTTGGTCTAAGGTGTGCGTTTTTGAATACAACATAAAGCTAACCCGAGATCACTCTAACTCTAAACTCAAATCTCCAGAGACGTGGTATAATTCTTAAGTATGCAAAGAATTATAGATTTTAGGTATACTTTGCTTAGAAAATAATTAAAATGCGCGACAATTTAATCATTGCATTGGGACTACAGTATTTGTATAGCAATTTAGTTTTACACAAATCGGAGAAAGAATGATTCTCCTAATCTTGACCGTGTAACAATTTATTAGTAATACTTGTCAGTAAAAACAAGTCAATTTTAATTTAATCGCATGCGCGTTTAGGTTAGTATTACGCACCAAGCCACTGACCCGACACTGCACCACTGGTCACTTGTTGGATTGTTGCTTTGTTTTGAAAGTTTTCTCTCCGATGCAGGTCTAGTCTGACCAAGTACCGAGACCTGGATGACGTAAGCGGCTCCAAATCAGCCCAAAACTGCGACAAGCTCTACCCGAAATGCGCCCGGCCCCTGCGTCGGACCTCCCCTGAAGAGGAACCATCTGATAAACTACCCTACGACGACAAGCCCACTGATAAGCTGCCCTACACTGACGTCACGTCTACTGATAAGGTGGCTTATCACGATAAGAGAAAGATCGGAATCCACCGGTGAAACACGTGAACTGTTTGTAATTTATTTTGTTACGTTTATTTATTTTGTTGCTTTAAGAATAAAGATTTTGTAATTGAAATGAGTGTTTTCCTCTTTTGATATATAATTGGTGAATAGGGATGTGTAAACATTTTAGATTAAAAATATTGCCAAATAGTTTGGGTAACCAAGTAGCTAAAACGCATGTATTAAAATTTAAAGTTTTTAGTTAGATTCTGTGTGAAATCCTTTAATTATGCTAAGCAGCCGAGGGTTAACTAATATGGGTTTGGACATTTCCTTTACGAAAAGAGTAAAAATGCTAGTGTCATTAAAACACACAAAATAAAAAATAATGAGAAAAGTATATTCAAAAGGTATTTCATGCTTTTGCAATAAAATAATACAGTTAACGCATTACCGAGGTTTTTTAAAACTTGAAGTAACCTAGGCTTAGAAAATGAAGTGAGTGTAATTTAAATGTATTTTAAATGCAATTTAAATCCGTTCTTAAATACAATATCTCACTTCTCTAAAGCACGTATAAAGTTTTTATTTTACTGGAATTTATTTCACCTATAAGTCTTAAAGCCTCTCACAACAAGAGGCTCCTAAATACAAACCAACAATGTCTGCCAAGATGTAAAAGGTCCAGCTGATTTTTCCCGCCCTTTCCGTGTTACAACTGGTCTTGGAGAAACTATCTTACAGCCACGCCTTTTTATGTGGGACAGCCTGTTTTAAAGGAATCTTACTGTAATTCCAATTTTATTTTCTAGTCACACCGTCTTATTGTCCTGCAACTGTGTTTATGGATTCGCAATGAATTTAAAACCGAATTCACAGTTTTGAACCATCTGCATTCAAAAGTGAAAACACAAGATTTTAAAATATGCAAGTAGTTTACCTATATTAAAGTCCACATGTCATAAACGAATTATTGTGACGAACCTTTACTTAATTTGAGGATCTTTAATTTGTATAGGTTAACAGGAGTTTTGGCTGGATTATGTACTCTGGTTCACGAGTTTAAATTATAAATCTACTATGTGAATTGATTTAGAACGGTTGCTGTAAGGAAAAAAAAGCAATTGCTTGCATTGTATACATTGTGGCACAATGCTAGATAGTTATTTACTGAAAGTTTAATCCAAAACTAAAGGGAGTCATTTATATCATTAATGGCTCTTATCGTAGGGTAATGAATTCAGTTTTGAGAGAGAAACACAGAGACTTTTGACTGTTGGAAATAAAGTAATATTTTTTTAGTCATTGATCTGTAATCTTCATTATTTTTAGTATCCAATATTTAGTCAAAGATTATAAACTTTCATATAGTTTTTAATCGTAAAATGAAATTAAATTGAAATAAAATTAGAAGACAGTTACTAGAATCTGTGATATGTTATAAAGCTTTAAATGAAAGAATTTGTTACCTTAGGTTAAGAGGAAAATTTAATAGTTTATCTGTGATTAGTTACTATGCGCCAACAGAAGAAAGTAATGATGAGGATAAAGACAATTTTTATACACAATTAGAAGAATTAGTTACCGATATTTCAGATTATGATACGCTTATAATGTTAGGAGATGCAAATGCCAAAATAGGTAGAGAAGATATATGGAAAAGTGTAGCTGGAAAAGAAAGCTTACATGAAGAAAGTAATGAAAATGGTGTGAGGTTACTAAGTTTTGCTTGCTCCACAGACTTATTCATAGCAAGTACCAAATTTCCTAGAAAAAATATATACAAACAAACCTGGGTATCACCTGATGGACACACAGTAAACCAAATAGACCATGTCCTAGTAGATAAAAGACATCTGAGCTCAGTTACCCAGGTAAGAAGCCTAAGGGGAGCAGAATGTGGCACTGATCACTATTTAGTCTTAATAAAAGTAAAACAAAGATTAAAAATAGAAAAGAGAAAAAAGAATAAAGCTGAAGAAAGAATATTGTTTGAACCAAACAAGATAAAGGAATACCAAATCGAACTGAAGAATAGGTTTTCGGTATTAGCACAAGACACCGGAGAGGATGTAGAAAGAGTATGGGAAACCATTAAGAAAGGGGTCAAAGAATCAGCTGAAACAGTCTTTGAAAAAAGTAAGATTATTAAAAAACCATGGTTTAACGAAGAATGCCAAAAACTTGTTCAAGAAAGAAGACAAGCGAAAAAGGAAACACTCGCAGATAACACGGCGGAGTCAAAGGCAAGATACCAACTCCTAAATAGAGAAGTAAACAAAACACTAAGAAGAGAAAAAAGAAAGTATGTAAACAACACTCTATTACGAGCAGAACAGGACTGCAACCAAAATAACTCTAAAGACTTCTACAGAAGAATTAGGTTTTTCCAAAAAGGTTTTAAACCAAATGTAATAGGCGTGAAAAATCGAAATGGAATAGTAACATGTGAGCCAACTGAAGTTTTAAAAACTTGGAAAGAGTACTTTTGTGAACTATTGAACTGCAATGAGGATGAAGCAAGGAATATTGAAGATGAAGTTTTGGCAGAGGAGGAAGAAGATCAAGGAATCGAAGAAATTCCTTGTGCTGAGCCCACAATGCAAGAAATAAAGGACGTTTTAAAAACATTCAAAAATGGCAAAGCTCCTGGTGAAGATGCGATCCCAATAGAATTAATGAAAAATGGAACCGAAGAACTTTTCATCCATCTACACAAACTGATTCTACAAGTATGGAAAAGCGAGAAAATGCCAAAAGAGTGGACTGAAGCAGTAATAGTCCCACTGCACAAAAAAGGGGACAAACTAGAATGCAAAAATTATAGAGGTATATCCCTTATAAATACAACATACAAAATACTATCTAAACTTATCTTAAACAGACTCAAATGCCATGTAGAAGAAATAGTAGGAGACCACCAAGCAGGTTTTATGAAAGGGAGATCAACAACAGACCAAATATTTATTCTAAAACAAATAACCTCAAAGTATTGGGAATACAACAAAGATATATATGTAATGTTTGTAGATTTTAGCAAAGCTTACGACTCAATAAACAGACATAAACTGTGGAAGATGATGAAAAAGTATGGATTACCTAATAAAATAATTCAGTTGGCAAAAATGTGTTTAAATGAATCCAAAGGGAAAGTAAAAATAGGGAAAGAATATACAGATACATTTAATATAAATACCGGAGTGAGACAAGGTGATGGTCTATCGCCATTATTATTCAATATAGCACTAGAAGAAGCTCTCAAGAAAACAAGAAATAGTGAAGGAGGGGCAAGACTTACTGATAAAATAAACCTTCTAGCATTCGCAGATGATGTAGCCATTGTAGCTGAAAACAAAAATAATCTCAAAGTGCTAACAGAAGTACTAATTAAAGAAGCAAGAAAAGTGGGTTTACAAATAAATGAAAACAAAACCAACTACATGAAAATAAGTAGGCAAGATGACGAGGAAGACCACTTAGAAGTATTAAACTATAGGTTCCAGAAAACTAGTATCTTTAAGTATTTGGGAGTGATGATCACAAACAATAATAGAGAAGAAATAGAAATTCAGAGCAGACTCACAGCAGCAGAAAGATCATACTGGAGTTTAATAAAATTATTCAAAAGCGCCTTATTACTTTTGAAAACAAAATTTTGAGAAGAATTTTTGGACCAGTAAAAGAAGGAAATGCATGGAGGATAAGGAAAAATAGAGAGTTAAAAGAATTATATGGTGAACCAGATATTGTGGGAATAGTTAAAAGTAGGAGATTGAGATGGATGGGCCATATTAACCGTAGAAGTGAGAGAGAGATGGTGAAGATGGTACTCAGAGGTATACCAGAAGGAAGGAGACCATTAGGTAGACCAAGAATGCGATGGGTTGATGAGGTGACGAAGGACTTGAGAGGAATGGGAGCAGACTTGGAGCTGGCAGAGGATAGAAGAGCTTGGAGGCACATGGTTGGCGAGGCCAAAAACCACCTAGGTTTCCAATGGCCACAGGAGTAAGTAAGTAAGTAAAATGAAATTAGATGAACGTGTGAATAATAGGTGACCTTTTTATGGCTATAATACGAGTATAAGGTTTTCATACGTATAACATACATATTTTATAAAATCATATATAATGGTTAATCTCAAGCAAACGTTTTTGGTGAGTAATCCTCAGGAATATATGCAGCCTCAAATTGTCCAAATAACAATGAATAATTATATTGGCAACACGAACCAGTGTTTCAAGAAGTTGTTACTTGTTCTTAAAGTCACAGCCACAAGTGCAAGATGATTGTAACAATAATGACACTGCAGACAAAATCATTGTTGTACCTTGCTGTATTGCAGTCATCGTTAGCTGCATTGTACCTTCGTTACAACGTCACAATCCAGTGTCATTAGGGACAAAAATACACGAGTTGTGTACTACTGTAAAACAGTGAGGGGTTATGTTGACAATAGGAGCTCCAACTTAGTAACAGTGGAGGATCAAAAGTACAGTACAAGAAGGTTTTGTATGTCAAACCAATTTGACAGGTTTTCATTGTATAGGTTGTTCATTGTTGTAGGTTTTGTGTTTTTTGTTCAAGTAGTTCTGTAAAGATGTGATATCTGCAGAATATTTAAAAGAGGGTTAAAGAGGAAACAAGAGGAGCTTGTACGGTTGGTATAAACTCTAAAGGTTAGAGAGCAGAACATATGTTCTGTACTCCATACTTTATCCATCTATTCTATGGTTCTATATGGTAATATGCCTGATGATAAAGACGATACCCGAAGTACAAGTTCAGAACCAAACTTTAGTTGTAGGACTATCAAATAACAACCCCTGCTAAGACTGTCTCTTAATTGGAGTATACAACTTTACGAAAAGCCATGTGATCTTTTAAATTATTACCTGTAATCATGAATAATGCAGTAATATAAAAAGAACATGACGGTAGAAACATATTTCGGTACTTTCCTGTTAAAGGACACATTCATTATAATTGATGATTTTTTTCTCGATATATCGATATTAACAAATTGAAACATCAGGTGACAACTACGATAAATATTGTTCAGTATCAACCCCTGAGCTATAATTCTAACTGGAGGTAGGACTGAATGTCAAAGATGCGTGTCGCCAGCCGCCATGTTTACGTGAGGTGTGAGTTATAAGAAGCCATGTTATTGGATAAGAAAACTCACTGCTATACCAACCTAGTTATAGAAGCCATGTTATTGGATAAAGAAACTCACTGCTATACCAACCTAACAAAATCAGCGACACGCCTTTGACAGACTTCTGCCATGGCAGTGCTACCTCCAGTTATAATTTTAGCTCAGTGGTATCAACAAACAATAATGAAATGAAACTGTTCTAAAAAAGAACGTAACATAACTAACCAAACTTGCTACGTGTAACATTTAAAAATCCCGCGTGTTTAACTTGACTTTTCTGTTATCAAACGGAATTTTTAAATGGTACAGCGAGTTTAGTTTGTTATGTTAGGTTAGCTTAGAACAGTTTAATTTCTTAATAATAGGTTATTTTGGCCTAAACAAGATCAGTTGTTAATTTGTAATGAATCGGAAAAAAATATCGATATATCGAAAAAATCATCGATAATAATGAATGTACCCTTTAACAGGAAAGTACCCATATTTCATTGTTGGATTAAAGTTTTGAAAATGAGAGCTAAATACTAGTCAAAATTGTAATAATGATGGTTAATTTGATTACATGTATTACCATTTATTTCAGTCAGGATTGAATTTAACGATGGTGATCCAATTGAAATTGTTATGTTTGCCGAAATACAAATTACAAGTTCCATTGTCACACCATTGTAACACCAATTATTCATTTTTCTGCCTTTAATACTTTTAATTGAAATGGTGACCATACGAAGGTAGGTATTTTAACCCAAAAGAATGAATGGAGATAGACAACAGAAATTAATATTTAAGTAGTGGTAACTAAACTAATACTTTTGTTTAAAAAATGAAAAAAAATGAAGTCCCCTAAACAGTTCAGAATTGACACTTCATTACTGTACCCACAATAAAAATGATTAATCAATTGTATTGCAACTTGGGTAGTGTTCACAGAGGCGTCCACAAAATACTTCATTTCCTTGATAGGATTAAAGCTTGGACATTCGAGGCTCATGTTGATGGATAAATGCAAGGCTGAAAGAGGTCGCAATTCTTCTGACAACTCACCAAAGTTACGAACTCAATTAATGTCAGTCATTAGTTGCAGAGAACAAGATGACAAGAAGATGATGCGAATGAGTGTGTTGAAACGTCGACGGCGTCACAACTTGTCAAGGACGTTGAACATATCTCGGGACATCACAATAGACCTGACGAACTTTGCAGATGTGAGTGAAAATATAGACAAATCTTTTTACCTTAAAATGTAGACTTTTGAATACCAAATTATACATCTAATTTGTATGTACCATCTGTACCAATTTGAATAAGCCAATAATGGAGTGAAATTTGCGCAAAAGTTATATTTTCTCTCTCAATTTTAAATTATTCAATAGTTGATATGACATTAAAAACGATAAGTTAGTTTTTAATTCATTTAGCTTGGTTAAAAGCTCGGTTTTTATTCGAAATAAAAAAAATAAATAATGTATCAGCACTCTCTGATGGTAGTTCCAATTACGTTCAGTTTTATTCTAAAATTAGCCACAACCCTAATATGGAGAAAGGACGTTTACGTAAAGATAACATTAAGCGTTGAAGTATCCATAGTAAAAGCTCAAAGTAATATTACAATTGAAAAAATAATATACGACTTTGTAACAAGTTAGGATTCAATACGAAGTTTGACAGAACATTGATGGAGTGTTGCTGCAAACCACTGTCTAAACTAGGTCAAACCAGGATTTCATTTTCGCTCACACAATAGCAAAATGAAATGTCAATCCATTTACATCACACAGCTTTAACTTTGTTTTGTAACGTGGTGGGTTCACAGAAGAGAATAATCTGATTCTTTCTAGTGTATAAACCAGTTGTTTGTAAAACACTGTTTAATATGATATTACAACTATTTTAATGGAAAGCTTAACTGTAAAACATATAGTTTAACGTTTTTTGGTTTAATGAAACATGCTGTACATTAGAAGAACTTTGATAACTCAATTGAAATGCGAGTAAAGTAAATGCAAATCAAGCAATGCAATTGTAGCTTTTATTTTGATGCCATACTAGATTAGCCTAAGTCAAGTAACCTTTTATGGCTACTTCCGGATCCTAAATACATTATTCCCTATGCCTTACAAGGACTTCATTGAAGCAAAGATCACATTGCACTCATCCTAGGCCTAACTGTTTCAAAACTGATGTAATCCTAGTTAGCCCGAATGCAATGTGTGTAGCTACAGGATCGTAGACAGATAATGATTATGTTTTTTGCAGTCTTACTACTACGGCGACATCACTATAGGCACTCCGGGTCAGCCAGTGAAGATCAACTTCGATACAGGATCTTCAGACTTCTGGGTCGGTTCAGCCTACCTCTGTACCTCATACCCTGAATACTGTAACAAGTGTGAGTATCTACCATGGGTGCTTCCAGAAAGTTGTAACGGGGAGTGACCGAAAGTTTGTGGGTCCGGGAAAAAGCCATCTCAGTTGATTTTTGAAAATTAAATTACCAAAAACAATGTTTGAATATGTTTTCAAGATGATGCACAGTAAAAAAATAACGTGGTTAATTTTTTCATAAAATATGACTGCATCATGCAACAGCTATTGCCTATTATCTTTCCTGTTCCTCTTTTGTGTTGTTTGGTACCTCTAGATTTGGTTGCTAACCACCGCGATTGAGTTCACTGTTAACTTTAGATTAAGCCGCATTGAAAACTCACAGCGAGTAGCTACATCATAGCCGCGTGAGTAGAATAGTTATAGCTGTTGAGTGTTGAGTAGAGGTAGAGTACTGCTTTGGTTGTAAGCCAATTTATCCTCAGTAATATGGAAGTGTCCATGAACATGTCTATTAAATGGCGTTCAGGGTCACTTCCATATTGCTAAGGGTATAATAATAAACTTTTGGATGAGATGGTGTTAGTGTTTGTGTACCGCTAGTCTGTGTGTAGTTAAAATTTGATTCCTCAACTATCTACTTCACTCTTAATCACTCAGATCAGATACAATGTTTATAGTTATCAGGTGGACATTCCGTGTACGACCACGATCAGAGCTACAGCTACCAAGAGGACGGCAGACTCTGGCGTATTGGTTACGAGGACGGCTCCTTCTACAAGGGGTTCATATCTAAGGAAGATTTTGAGGTGAGATTCCGGGATAGCTCATCTTGATTCCTGATAAAATTATTAGCTTTCAAAACACTCGAAGCTGAAATAGAGTTCACGTGAAACCTGCAATTGCTAACAGGAAAGCTAGAAGTTCTAATTAAACTAATTTTTACTTATTTGCCAAAAATATGCTCTTCAGCCAAATAAAAGTTGGAAAAAATATGACGTAATATCATCATAATCATCACTGTAACTTCACCACTGAGGTTCACTAGCTCTCCACAACAGTGTCTTTAACCCCCACAATCACTATCATATGTTTGTAGATAGCAGGCGCTGACGTGGAGGATCAGCTGTTTGCAGAGGTGATCACCATCAACCACGCAGACAGTACCTGCCAGGAACAGTATGACGGTATCCTGGGCTTAGGCTACCCTGACTACGGCTCTACTAATATACTCCGGAGAAACCTCCCACTGCTCAACATGGTGTGTCAGGGAGTCGTTGACGAGCCCATCTTTGCCTTCTACCTTACCCAGTAAGCATCAATGCTTTTGGTAGAAGATTCTAACAATTGATCTCAAATAGATATTTTAAAATTTACGATTTGATGAGATAGAAAGTAAAGATATCAATATTGACTTTTGAATTCTCAATAGTCAATGATATTATTGAATAGCTGAGTGGTTATATTTATACCTGGTAGACGGTTTCCAATTCAACCCTGAGGAAAGTCAGTAGCTTATTGATGATTTGTAACTAAATCCAGCTGTCCTCAATAATTGGGAATTGGTAATTGGATAATCAATGATTCTGTCAAATACTGTATAATAGATCGTCATAGTCGTGATGTTACAAAAGACAAGTATTTCAATTATACACTCATAATTAGGTTGTGATACACCCATTTATGTTTTAAAAACATTTCTTGGTACAGCGTGTACTTAGACCTCAATTCCAGTCAAATATAGAGTCCCAAAATCTTGATAAAATGTGCTTCGTTGTCCATTAATGTAAGTTATTCCCGAGTGTTTATTTGTAAATTTAATGTTACATGGACGACCCACCACTCGGCCGTACCTGGTGCCCGGAACCCGAACTTCCTCTCTTCTCATGGTTACCAGAACTTCCAGAGTTTCCTTCCTGGTTACCCACAATCCCGAACTTGTGGGGTTGGTGGTGCGACTCCAAGGAGGATGAACGCTCAGCACAGCTCGTGATCGGGGGCTTCGACCCTGACCACTACACTGGGGACCTTGTCTACTCTCCGGTAGTCTCCAGCAAGGCATGGCTCATAGCCGTCCAAAGGTAGGACAGTTCTGGAATAAAAGTAGATTAAACATCAACATAGTAAAGTACGATAAGTAAAGTGAAGTCCTGCAACGAAAGAAACTTTATAAAGTTAAAAAGTATACAAAATATACCTAAAGTAAATTTCAGACATAAAAGTAATCAAATACCCCCGCCGCAGCAAACCTGCAGACTAAGCGAATTTCAACTTGTCTGATTACAGTTTTACTAAAATATTTCCATGAATAAGACATATTATTCCCTATTTAAATAACATTAGATTTAACAAGTGCTTAGGTTTGCTGCTACGGGGAAGGTAAAAAGTGTTTTTTGACCACACATCAATAGTATAGGATGAAATAAATAAATTCGCCAAATTTTATCAATATATACCCATAAACAAGTAAACTACAACAATTTTCATTTTCCCCATAAGAATAACATGGGAATTTTTAATAACACTATTATTGGATTTTCTCCGTGACCGTTAGGCATACAACAGCGCTTCAATATACTAAATTATTTCTTTTTTTAAGCTCTACAAAACGTTTTAGAAAGAAATCGCAAAGTTTTTTGTTTTTAGGTTAAAAAATGGGAAAACCCCATTTTTACCCCATAAAACCCCCCATAATCCCCCGTTCCCATGGTCCGATTATGCTGGATCGCGAACTCGTTCGAATAAACCTCACGTTTGTACCAAATTTCATCAAAATCGGATCATTTTTGCTCGAGTTATCGCGCTAACGGACACACATATATATATTTATATAAATATATATATATACATATATATAAATACTGTATATATATATATAAATATATATATATATGAATTTGAACGGATGGTGTTTTTGGCCTCTAGGGACCTCAAAATGAAAAATTAGATCGGTCTCGGGTCCAGGTCTTACCATGAGTACTACGGTAATAGCTTATTCCCTATATGGGAAATTCGCTAAAAAGACACTGAACAGATGAAGACACTAGTAAACCTTCGCAAGTGGTTGTTAAAACGAAACTACAATATGTCTTTGACATTAATTCCTATTGACTCCTTTTGCAGCATAAGGAACATTAGTGAATCAGATGGCAGCTTTCCTTTTTTACCTTCCAAGGTTTTGCATTTCTCCCCAACTCACGTCCTTGATTACTGAAACCTTTTTTTTTGTTTTCCCACTTTCCTACTTTCAGCGGGAATCCACTTATATGAATATTTCGTATTGCTGACTTAAATGCAAGGGAATTATGTTTTCATGTGCTGAGCTAAACACAAAACTGCATTATTATTGAACTACTGATTGTTCTAATTTAAAAGTAAGTATGGTTTTTGTGTATGTTGCAGGGTGTTTGTCAAGGATCAAGAGATCAAAGGACACATGATGGCTTTAGTTGATTCTGGAACGACTCTCCTGTATCTTCCAAAGCAAATGTTCAACATGTTTTCCAGCATAGGGATGCTCGGATCACAAGACTACTACGTAAAGTTACAATGTTTTGTGAAGTCCATCGTCCTGCTTTACTAGTGCGTGTAATACATCTAAGCTTGTTTACTATCTTAATATTTAACATATAGCAAAAGTAATCTTACATGAGTATGTCTTATATTTAACACATTCAATGCCAGCTCTCACAAAGCCTCTCATACAAAGGAGTGTGGTGGCTGGTAGGCAAGTGCTAAACATGGTTGATAGCTAACGGTTGATATTATAATTGCTTTAGAACTAACCTGTTTTAAATTTAACTGGGTCGGCTGGAATTCACTAAATCACTTATTATATCAATCCTACTAATTTCAGTTGTTTACACTAATTAATGCTGCGTTAAATATTTTTGGCGTTAACCTAGAAGAGATGCCAATAAACATAGAAACTGCCCAGAGGAAATAATCCTTTGCATGCTTAATTAATTCGGCAAATTCATTTTGTGCATTATTAATGGAGTGGTGGAAATTTTTGAAAAATTTCAATAATTAAAATACAAATTAATTCAATAGTTCAATAATTAAATGAAATGTTTATTTCTATTTCAAATTATAATTCTGAAAAGCCTAATTTATATTTACCACAAAGAAAAATTAAAAACTGGAAGCTAAAATATTAACCTAATTCACAAAGGTTAGGTAGAAAATAGTTAATTATTATATTCATCAGACATAATGATTACATGTCAAAAACAGTACTAGGTGGTCGGATGTGGAGTTTTAAAACACTCTCTTGTGCAATGAAGGTTTGCTTCGTCCGTAAATTGCTTAAATTTTAATTTCAAGGATTTGGTAGGAACCTTTCTTGGAGATGACGGATGAGTTTTGTAGAATTAGTCAACCCGTCTACTTCCCTCTTCTCTCCCATTTGATGACATTTGATAGATTTACATGATTTTTATTTCGCTTTAAATACGTCATCAGCGCGATAATTTAGAATCCGGTTTTGTTTTAAATATAGGCCCTACTCGTTTTGTATATAGTACGACTCATTAATAGGAGTAAATCTCAATATATCATATCAATCTAAACAATCTTAGTTTAAAGTAATACATTTTTTACCAATAGTTGTGGCAATTTGTCCCGTTGCATAACTGAAAATAGGCATGAATTTAACTAATAACAATTAACCTACCAATAAAGTATTAAAGTATTAACATAAGCTGCTTAACTTTAGCTAGAAATGAATAACTTTTTCCAAAAAATCTATATATGTTTAAAAAGGAAATAATGTAAACAAAAATACTATGTACATGATAGTTTACAAACTTAATTAGATTGTTTATAACACACAGTGTGTTAAATAAAATAATTCATTAGTTTGATTATTTAGATAAGTTTTAAAATATTTATCTAGACAAATAAATTTACATGTAACACAAAAAAATTTCAGTGTTAAGAAATTAAAGTTCTAGATTATGTTAACCAATTTGAAATGTATACCTATTAGTTAGCAATTATTATAAAAATATATTAGCCTATATTTGCTATGCATATTATAATCACAGCTATTTAGAAGATTATTTATTTCCAGTTTGACTGTGCCAAACTTCACATGCTACCAACATTGACTCTCGTCATAAGTGAAGTTAAAATGACCCTGGAACCTTCTGAATATGTGTTTAAGGTAAAACAAACTTCTGTTCATGAACGAATATTTGTAATAATCCTAACTAATTCTCTGTGAATGCGATAGTACTCTGCTTGCCCAGAATGTATATATGAATTGAATTTGTTAATATACAGTATAAGGTTAAATACTAAACATCAACCATATATTGGCAATATGTATAACATGTAGATACATAGAGGAACAAACAGCGTTTACTTTTAGCTCTAAAAACACTGAAGAAGACTCATTGACTCGTGGGGTGTGATTACCGCCTCAAGGTTGCAGAAGAGATTCATTCTTATAGACATTAAGCCTCTAATCTTCTTTAGTTGGATCAAATCTTTTAAAACCCCTTTTGGTATAAAAGGTTCATGCCACAGATGTTAATGCCTTACAAATCAAACTATTGTCACAAATGGGCGTTCGTTAGGTGATACTATCACGAGAGTGACCTTAAGTTTTCCGCAGTAATTAAGGTGAAGAATCAGAGCTATGTTTATTTGAAGTTTGATGAATTGCCTATTTTTTTATTGTGGCTGAATTCGGGGTTTACATGTTTTTAATTAGGGTGATTGATGAAAGAGATATGACCCATAGGAAAAGAAAAAAAATTTGTGATGAAATCTTTACCTTGATTGAGAAAGAGGTATCTATTGAAACAAAGTAAGTTCTTAATTCCAATGATTGTCTCCAGGTTCGACCAGGTGTCTGTGACGTGGGGATTAAGCCGTCTGATAGCGACAGTATGTTCATCCTTGGCGATGTTTGGATGCGCAAGTACTACACAGTGTTCGACATGGGCAACCATCGTGTGGGCTTTGCCAGAGCCGTCTAGGAGTTACCCATACCCAAGTCAGCGACAAAAGAGAAGAACTGTCAATTCTCACAGTAGAGCCTTCTACCATTGACTATAACATACTAGGAGGCTTGGCGTAACAACTAGAACCGTTCTGAAGGAATGAGTCATACAACTGACATTCTTTTTAGATAATATTGTCAGCCTACAGAGAGATTGGGATGAAAAAGTAGTTGAAAACCCCGCAATGAAAGTGGACTGTTGTGATAAAGAAGAGGTGTAAACTAATTGATTAAACTTAAAAAAAAACACAGTGTTTCTTTTTCTTGTCAAGTCGTTGAAATAGTTTTATTTTATGGGTAACATTTGTTGTATAAGACATGACTGTAGCTCGAAACAATAATTATAAAATTATCCTAACTCAGGCTAGGTGTAGATAGTTGAGATTGACGGAATTGACCACGGGGACTTCTGCTCGTGCTCTACCACAAGATTTGCTCGCTGCCTAAAATACAAATGCAAAACACTACGATCTGTAACAAGTCTTATGATTTCTTGATCGACCAACATTATGTATTGATATTTTTTTGTTATCCAAACAAAGGAATAATACATTTGTCAAACTGTGAAAACTGAAGTAATTTGGGTAAGAAGGTTGTAGTCGAATAAACATTTCGTTAAGTCGCTTATCTGGCGAAAGTTGAGAGAGAAAATTTGGATTTAAGTGCTGTAAAGCGACACGTCCTTTTATCATTTTTAATTCTGATCTCCCTCTCTGTGTATAAGTTGGTAGCTGAGTGGTTATAGTGTTTAGCTGGTGCTTTTTTACCAAAAAAAGCTAGTTCACTTTACTATATTCTTTCTTGTCCAAAAGGTGCTAAGAGGAGATCAAACAGAGAGTGTGAAAGCCGTCCATACCCACATGTTTTGTGGATATGCCGGGAATCGAACCCGTACCCCCGCAAGTCCGAGACTATAACCACTGGGCCAGCAACACAATTGTTTGATGTTTCGATATTAAACTCAGCTATATACATGATCGTTGGGCTTTCAGTAAATAGTGCTAGTAGTACTGATATTAGTACAAAGCTACACGCGAATAAGGCATCGCACTCCATTTTATACCCATCTTTACTCGTGTTCATGTAAAAATACGCAGCAGCGTCCCTATCCCGATGTACAATATGGTATAAAAGGATGTTTTAACTACCCTAACAAACATAACGGATTATTGACAGTACTAGGACACTATTGTATGCATCTGAGTATCTCATTAGACCGTTATTATATCAAATTACACATATGAAAACAAATATATAATTTCACTCATTGTATAATTGTGATATCAATCCACACAATTAATTATCCTCAACGTGTTTTAGAAGCATCTAAAAATAAATGCGTAGTTATAGCTATAGGGTTAATAAACAGTTTATTAGAAGACAAAAATATATCTGCACTCAAGTTTTCAAAAAGACAGATCTTAGTTGTTTAGCATCGATGAATATGCATGTCAATGATTGTCAAAGCAATGATCCAATGGCAGCCAAAGATACAGAGGCTATTGGACACCAATAACAGAAGCTCGGATGTATAATGGTTGGTATTAATGTCCCGATATTGAAGTCTAGATATGCAGATTTGTTAATGATACCCTTTCATGTGGAATGTCTTGCTTAAAGGTGGTATTATTGCTCTGTAGTATCTCCTTGTAGATATTGGGAGTAATGATGGATTACAATCCTTTGCAAAAATAATTTAAACTGGACGATTTGATTAAAATACTGACTTATCGATTTGGTTAAAATACTGACTTATACGTTATAGTATTTTGCAAAAGATTCAAAGGCGTTCTCGTATTACCAATCAACTACATATTAAGTTAATAAGAGTATATTATGGACAGTTTTGTTTTATGTGTTATTTTTCATAATAGTTTTCTTTTAATTTTGCAACTGCCTTTTTGTGTAACGGAATTAATCAGTGCTCTTGGAATTTAAGGAAAAAAAGTTCCGAACGTATAATTCTCTTTTATAGTCGTATTGCTTTGTTCATATCACTACAGTTATTTCTACAATTGTATCTAGTCAAATTTAAATTTAAGCTGTACAGTATTTTAGTAATTTGAACAAAAACGCTGTTGCGTTGGCTAATATCTGACGCATATAGATTTCTTCAAACGACCTCAACATTTTAGGCCCTAGTGATGAAATAATCAACTACTGTACTACAAGATACTGGAGGAATGACAAACTTTATCAATATGCTTAAACATTTGTCCTCTTGTCAATGTAACACAACTAAAAACGACTAAAACAAATAATACATGAAATTAGTGGCATTGTCATTTAGGCAAATAAACAGGAGCTTAGTGTACCTAATATTCCAAACAGTTATTTTTATGAGAAATATCTATCTATATACTTATTTAATACGCAAGCAGTTTTTTTGTGACAATTACTCCTCCGAAACTACTGAAACGATTGACATGTTTTTGGTGTCGTTGGAAAGAGCGTAACGTGAAGTTGTGCAGGAAACTTTTTTATTTAAATAATTAGAGAGTGAGGCCCTGGGGCCCTTTAAAGTTTCGTATTTCATTTCTCCATAAGATTTACATGGGAAACAAACATTGTTATGAAATTCCAGCTGTTGTCAGAAATTAAAAGTGAGAAGAAGAACATATGTTAATAACAGTCAATAAGCTAATTTAACAGTTTGCTACAAACATTAACTGACTTGGTTTAAATGAAATATTTACTATTTGAATTAGGGTTGGCGTAAATATTACAATGGAAAAAACGAGAGTGACTGGATAATTTGATATACTTAAAAGAAAACTAAATTAACACTGTGCTGCATTTCTTAGTAATCATTGAAAGAGCCGATTTGCTAACTATGGAAACATAGGAAAGTCAAAGAACACCACCAAGGAGAAGAAATAGAAACGTTTGTCTACAATTTATAATCGTTATTATGGACAACCTAATGCAGCTATGAGTAAGACTATTTGTAGAAAACGCTAAAAAACAGGATCAGCATTTGAAGAATGATAAGATATTTACAAGAAATGTTGATTATATCGGTATGTTATGTACATCTTAAGTATTTCCATAATATTTGAGTCGAACCTTTTTAAAGTCATCAAAAATTATTACTGTTATTCGTTTTAAAATACTTAACGCCTGTAATACTTAGCAATTGCTCGAATTCGAGCAATAAGTACACTAGTATAAAGTTAATTGATTAATAAACTGTGTTATAAAAACTAAGTTGTTTGTTGTTATTCACAAAGATTAACTAAGATTATATCTCTGTCTCATTTTCAACAGCTATTTATTAATGGTGTTCATTAAGCTGTTTAAACGAGATCATTCTGTCAAAAGAGCTTAATTTATTATCTGAGATGACGTCATTTTTGTGGAGAGGAAAGCTGAACGAACCTTGACGCTATTTACATGGAATACAAAATTAAGGTTTTCAAGTGTTATATTGTTTAGAGGGATATTATAGATATGTAAACCTATAATAATAAGAAATGACATTTTAAAAGTGGCTAAAACGTTTAACATAAAAAAAATTATCACCAAGACTATTAAAAAGAAAACTCCAAGTTATTTAAAATATAGAAATAAATATATTTTCCCTCGTCCTTAATAACAACTTAACTACAAAATCGATTAATGTGGAATAAGTTATGGTTCTATTTCAAACATACCACAGAACCTAAAGTAAAACATGTACTGTGCATAAAATAATATAAAACATCAACGACATAACCAAAATTATTTAAAATAAACATAAAGGAAACAATATTCAACCATCGGTAAGAAAAATTAGTTGTTATTGCAAACATCAAACGGATTGGTGATTGTTTGAAACTCACCACTGAATATTCACGTCAATGATTGTCAAAGCAATGACTGTCCAATGTTAGACAAAGGTACAGAGGCTATCGGATACCAATTACAATGACTCCAATACCGTTAGTTAGTATTAATGTGCCGATATTGAAGCCTAGATATGCAGATTTGTTAATGATACCCTCTCACGGGGGTGTCCCAAATAGAGGCTATCATTCTGCATTATCTTTTGTTATGTTTTAAAGCTAAGATATTGTTCCAAGATATTGTGTTGAAAGGGTTTAACAACTTCTTACAGTATACTGTACTTTTAAAATATGAGAAATTCGATTCTTTGGTATATATTACAATATAATTTATGTACGAAATATAAATTATGTATAAATTATATTTAATTTGTTTGTTCGGCTGTTCAACCAAAGATGTCAATAAAATATTTATCTATAAGTATAAAAGAGGATGTTTGTATATATATATATATATATATATATATATATATATATATATATTTGTTTGGCAGTGATAAACTCAGACACCGCTGAACCGATTGCCACGAAACTTGGTACATACGTATAGAATTTCATGGAATAGGTTTATACACCATCAATTTCGTGATCCTTCCAATCGGCTCCGCCCCAGTGGCTCTGGAGTTTCCCATGTTAACCTTATGAGAAATGGAATTAATGAATCTTAACAGCTGTTTCAATTAAACAAGTTGGTTCTGTTCTATGATGTTCAATAGCATTAAAGTTACAAGGATTACCAACAGGGTGCAGCACTATTATTTCTTTTACATTTATGACAACAGCTAATTTGCAACCAAAAGGTGAGTGAGCGTAGCGAACGAACTTCAACCTGGAGGCGAGTTAGCGTAGTGAACGAGTTAACCTGAAGGCAAGTGAGCGTAGCGAACGAGCTAACCTGAAGGCAAGTGAGCGCAGCGAACGAGCTCCAACCTAAAGGTGAGTGAGCGTAGCAAACGAACTTCAACCAGGACGTGATTGAGCCATGCGAACGAGATAATCTTGAAAATTAAGAAGTTAAACGGGGCAAAGCAAGCGGATTACAGCTAGTTTTATTAAAAATGATTCATTTTGCCGTATGAATGCTATATAAATTAACAGTATCAAAATTATGATAATTATTATTTTACTAGAAAATCTTCTTAGACACTAATTA